GGAATGACGATATGGAGTGGATTTGTAGCAATTGCATGCTACGATGTTGATCGCTGTAAGGAAGAATTACGATTTTATTCATTAGAAAATCAACTGAGTAATCAGTACTGCATTCGACATCCAACAGATTCCAGAATACTGCTTCTGAGTCGTCGGTAAATTCATATGTGTTTTTAATTAAGGGGAGGGGGAGGGGGGAGGAAAGGGGGGAAGGGCAATTGGTATGGAATTGCTGACGTTGCAAATTTTGGAAGCAAATCCTGGCTGTTTTTCAGGGTTTACTAAGAAGTGCGCTTAACTGTGGTACTTAACTGCTTCCATTATTTTTTCATTCTTTTTTCCTGTGTTTCTAACTCGAGAACCTGAGAAGCTGGTGGATTGGGATTTTAAGGGAATATTCCCATCCAAGTAGGTATTAATGAGCTCAAACCTGTACACCGACTATGCGTGGTGCTCATGTACAGGCCCGTGAAAAATTTTTTTCGAGTAATTTGCTCGAGAGCCAGCAAAACTAGAAAGCTGAAATTTTTAGGGGGCGTTTCCTGACAGTTCTGGCGGCGAGTTTTAGTTTGTTTAACTAGAAGCATTTGCTGGAAAACTGGTGCCGGTATCGAAAAAAACTGCGGGGAGCTGTGCAAAAAACGCATCTTCGCCCCGGCATTCGGTGCGTTGGCCAGTTATTCCCATTGTATTGTAGTGCTCTGTTTACTCTGGACTACAAAGTAAACATCGTTTCACATGACATTTTGTTCGCAACTCGATTTTCATCATGTAGGAATTTCTAGCACATAAAATAGTTGGTGAAGAAAAAGAGTTATCTTTCAAGACTTCTCATTATTGGTTCCTTTGCAAAATTACCGTTACCGTAGGGAATTTCTGCTTGTTTTGAAAAAAGGGTTTTCCGATGTCCTTTTTGGTTTGAATTTGTTGATAGTTATTGTTTCTTCGAGCATTTTAGGCGAAATAATTTGATTACATTTGATGTGGATTCACGGATTTTCATCGATACTCTCTCGTTGGAAAATAATGCGAAATTAGAACGACCGACGATTCGCTTAGAGCGGTGAGAAATGTTATATTTTGAAATAACTTACGTTAACTGCACTTTTGTGCTAAACCATTGAATTTTGAATATACGTATATGAATTCATGGACCAAAACGTCTTAACTCTCTCGTACTTATTTTTCCTGTACAGCAATATTTGTAGCCCTTGCATTACATAGTTCGTTCTATTCTTGCCCTCTTTTCTACGTTCTTCATATTACTTTCATGCTACAATCATGCGATAATCAGATTCCACAGCTGTATTGATTTTAGCCATTTTGTCATCAATTCGTCAAGCTCATGGACATATGCATCTGTTTGGAACAAACAGATGTACTAGTTGCACAATCAACAATAAGCTGAATGAGGTGCTATGCAGAAGAAAGAGTAATATGGAAGCCTTCGGCAAGTTACGAGACGTCTTTTCTGACCGTTTGGAGCAAGTAATAATCTTGCTCGCCTTTCGAGAACGATCCATGGATCAAGCCAGCACAGTTACGATCCGGATTGTGGGTCGGTGAAATGAGTTCAGGGCACTATGTTGTGGATCGCCGGAACCTCATAGGCCCGTGCAGTGGAGACCGGCATAGTCCGGGATTACCGGATATCAGGCTCGCCGATGGATCGAAGTCTGCGAAAGAAGTGTCAGGGCCGTGCTGACTAAGCGCTATCGCGGTCAGTGTCAGCCGAAGAACTCAAAGTTTTAGAGTTCTGGAGTTCCTTAACCCACCTGCGAACATTTTGATTATTTTCACTGTTGTAATAAAGAACAGTACGGGCCGTGGAGGCTCTACCAGGATCATATTAATGGAAACTATAAACAGCCCTTTTGGAGGACCGCAAACACCGGCCAATGTTAGGAGGGTCAGAAATTAAAATACAAACAAATTAAAAAACGGTCCAGCCGACGCCAGCAGATCGGTGTACGAAGGGGGAGAAAATTGAAACAGGCAGAGAAGATTGTTGAGTAGGAAATTTACGTAAAACATATGTCATGTAGAAAGGTCATGTACAGAGGAATATGTAAAAGAAGGAAGGACTCAACTTGTGTCGCCAGGAAAAGCGCCAACTCTAAGTAGATGTGATTACAAAAGCGTCGTTTGAATCACTGTACGACCAGTTTTTTTGAAAGATGGAAGTGAAACGTGGAAAACCGTATGTTATGAGGAGGGAAAGCGGTTACCGGATAATAGATGCCAGCAATTTCTGGCACAACTTCAATAAATTACTGTCTTTCGGGTGTTTTATGAGCATTATTATCAAGGCAGTGTACACCAGGAACAAGAAAGTTGGGTTGATTATCTGGTAAAGATGATGGACTGGAGATGGACGAAGTGTATTTTTGAATAATATTCGTGATTTTTATAAGAATACAGGGAGGGGTGTCAATTGATAAAGGGAAGGACTCAAAGATTAATGGAGATGTTGCTAGCTGCATCAGTGACGAGAAGAAATGTGACATTGAGACAACAGCTTTAAAAAAACGTGGAATAGTCTCAAAATCTTGATCATTCCAAGCAAAAACTATGCAGAATTTTGGTATTTTGCATAATTTAATGGGCAGTTTTGTTAGAAAACTGATAACTTTATACGGAATGGATAAGTTTTGTTCGAGTAAATAAAAATAATTATGATTTTAGATGCGCAGAAATACGTGTTCATGATCTAGTCCCGCATGCAGCTTGTGTTTTATCAGTTGATCCAGCAACTCTAAATTATGATTCTCGTAAGTTTGCTAAGAAATAGCATAAGTTGAATCATGATTCTTATAACTTTTTCAGTACCAGCCAAATCTTGCCCCCCTATAGTTGAATCGTGAAATTTTTTCCTCCACTGTTGAGCATGTTTTGTCATTTATCTCAGGCTAGACACAGTATAAAACAAAGCATGATGAAAAGAATATGTTTAAATGTAAAAGATTGCTAGTGCATACTCAGTCTCTGCATGACCTTTCTACATGACAGGCGGTTTACCCACATTGACTTCTCTACAATCTTTTCTACCCTTTTCTCTCCTTTTGTATCCCTATTTATTGATTTCGACCGGCTCTGTTTTTTATTTTTTATTTCTCGCCGCTGGTTGTACTGGCCGTTGTTTGCAGCCCTCTGGACAGGCTATTCATAGTTTTTATTGATATGATCCTCATAAGACCTCTACGGCCTGTACTGCCCTTCCCATTTCGCCCCTGATTGTATCGGCCGGTGTTTGCAATCCTCTGGACGGGTTTTTCATTGTTTGTATTGATATGATCCCCATAAGGCCTTTACGGCCCGTACTGTCCTTCCTATTTTATGTTTGATTCTCATATCTTCGGCCTTAGAGGTATTGTGTTCAAAAGTAAGTACCTGTAATTTTATGCAGAAACAAAAAAGGAGGGAGAAAGCCATGAGGGCCGAGAATGTATTGATATGCTGGTGACTTGAGGAACAGGCCATCTTTGTTTCATCCCTAAGCTGTAAACACAGAACGATCATCAAGATGCGTGAGAGATAGGATTTATCAATACGGTGCGTCAAAAACTTGAATGAGATTAGGTGCCATATGCACGTGATTGTAGTGTTACGGACTGAAGAAACGGGAGTAATTGTGCTCTTCCTTCTTTTTTTGTGAGGTATCAGCGTTTGAAAGTTTAAAAATTTTTAGTTTCTGGAACTTGGAACTTTAAATTTTTCTTAAGTTTTTAGCGGTGAAATTCTGCAGTGGTGTAGATACCGTTTTGGTGAACGTATGTGGACGTTTGATTATGTTAAATCCGGTGAAACGAGATAGTGTAGGAAGTGATTCATCGGACGACGATGAAACCTATTTCCAGGTTGGTGATTTCTGCACGGAAAAGTTTATTCTGAAAAGCATAATTCTGTGCTTCGGCCTATTTTAAAGGCTTTTTTCAAAATCTTCGCAACATTTTGGTCCATTTTTAATGCATTTTTTGCATCTGTGCAATACAGAGACACATATTGACGAGGGGTTGTCTGTGCGTCCGTATGTCTGTATGTGCGTCTTTACCGATTTTTCATTTCAACAACTATAAAAGCTGCAAGGTTGAAATTTTGGGAACTTAATCTACATGCACGTACGGGCCCCAATCCCCAAAATGGCGCCCTTGCCCGCGAGATGCCAACGTACGAACCCTTCTGAATTTTTTACGGGTATGCTGCTAACTCGGGAGCCAGAAATGTCGGGAGGTTGAAATTTTTAGGGGACGCTCTCCGTCCAAGTAGGTATTAATGAGTTCAAACCCAGCCCCCGGGTAAGCGTGGTAACCATGTATGGGCCCGTGAAAGTTTCTTTCGTGTAAGTTGCTAACTCGGGAACCTAAGAAGCTG